GCCTCAACCTTTATCTATAAAGATCTGTGTGAGTCTATATATTTGGGATGGGGTCATAAATATGTATCACGTAATATGTCATGGAAACATATGACCGCTATAGCAGACGAATATCAACATAAAACAGAAGATTTTATTGAAACCATCGATCCCAGTGTAGAAATGGAAGAGGCTTATCAATTGAGTTTATTAAAGAAAGAATTAAAATTTAAACAAATAGATGATTATGAGGAACATGAAGCCATAGAATCAACAGATGATGATAAAGAAGATGAGGATGATGATGACGAAGATGAAGAGGAAGAATAGTTAAAGCTAATTTTTACATAAATATTAAATAACTTTTATGAATATATAAAATTTTTATAAATAATATGTATAACTGTTTTAAAACTTGGACTAGTCCTTTACTTTTTGCCTTGGGCGAAGAGCTGAGCATCAATAGCCAAAGGTATTTCGGAAAATTGTACCTTGGAGTAAATTTCCTTTAACTTATTTTCAATTCCATACTATGGGCCCAGTCTAGGGTCTCACAAATTACTTTAACCTTAAAATTAAAATCAATTATTAATTATGAAACGATTAAATAATAAGGTATGAAATTTTTACCTCTACAGTATAAATATCCTTTAACCAAGCACGTTCATGCATAATATCTTTAATGGACACACCCAAAGAGTGAAGTATTTCGCACAATTCATGAATACCACCAGGTCTATCAGTAACTTCCACATTAAATTTCACCAAACGGCCCTCAGCGGCTAAACCTCTTTCAAGACAACGACCAAAAACAGTGGTATCGATATTACCACCACACATAATATCACAACTCTAAAAATAATAAGGTTATTATCTCAATTTTTAAGTTATTCCAAAATAAACCTACTTTTTGCCTTGCAGTTCTGGTAGTTGACCAGCTAATATAGCGGCCAAACCAGAGGCTCCAGCACCTTCCACCACACATTTTTCTTCTTCCACCAAACGTAAAATAGCCAAAGCAATCCATTCCTCTTGTACCACCACCATTTTATCAATTAGTGGCACAGCGGTAACATAAGCATTGTAGCCCACTTTTGGAACTGCCAAACCATCAGCCAAAGTATTTTTAATAGGTGTATGAATGGGACCATTGTTTTCCATAGCTCTTGAAAAACTGGGACATTTGGCAGATTCGACGCCCTGAAAATAATACAATATTATAACTGATCTTTATTTATAAATCTCTCAAATACTTACAATAACTTTTGTTTTCGGTGACAGGGCTTTAACAGCAGTAGCTATACCTGCAATTAAACCACCACCTCCAACGGGTATTATAACAGCATCTGGATTTGGTACTTGTTCCAATATTTCCAAACCAATGGTACCCTGACCAGCCATTATATGAGGATGATCGTAACCGTTGATATATAATAAACCCTTTTCTTTGGACATTTTCATGGCCCAGGCCTTAGCTTCAGCCATATCCTTGCCTTCAACTACCACATTAGCTTTATAGTTACGACATTTTTGAATTTTCATAATAGGTGCTGCCTTAGGCATAACAACTGTAACGGGTATATTCAACTTCCAGCCATGATAACTGAGAGCCTGTGCATGGTTTCCAAGTGAGGCGGAAATTACTCCCACTTTCTTTTGTTCTTCGGTTAGGGACAATAAAGCATAACGGGCTCCTCGCTCTTTGAAACTGTAATGTAAAGAAATAACAGTTGTGACTCGAATTTCATAAAGTTCCTAGGATTCAGGATTTTAAACCGATAAAATCCATTTTAAATTAGAAAAATTGTGACCGATTGGTCTATATTTACCATAGCTCACATATAAGGTTCAATTCCAAAAATCAAATAACCAAATATGTATAATAATCAATAACCATATACCACGAAGATTATTTTAATAACTCATAAACTAATAATGATATCGGTATAAAATTCTACTCGAATATGTTTTGTACATAAACAAATCATTCTGTGAAATTATTTCCGGATTGACCCATAATTGGTTATAGCTCTCATATACATAAAGCCCACTTCCGAAAATCATTTAATCGTAAATAACTCATGAAATAACGATATCGTGATAAAATTTTACACGAATATGTTTTGTATACATATCGGATCGGTCCATACTTGGACATAACTGTGTTTTTTATATAAAAATCATTCAAAGAATTTTTTCGTATCTGTTTACAATTGGTCATATATATACAATTGGTCATATATATATATATATATATATATATATATATATATATATATATATATATATATATGTACATAAGAGCCACTTCCAAAAATCACTTAATAGCAATAACTCGTGTCGAACCAAATTAGTCTAGTCTATAGTCTAGTCTGTAGTCTAGTCTATAGTCTAGTCTATAGTCTAGTCTATAGACTAGACTATAGACTATAGTCTAGTCTATAGTCTAGTCTATAGTCTAGTCTATAGTCTAGTCTATAGTCTAGTCTATAGTCTAGTCTATAGTTAGTCTATAGTCTAGTCTATAGTCTAGTCTATAGTTAGTCTATAGTCTAGTCTATAGTCTAGTCTATAGTCTAGTCTATAGTCTAGTCTATAGTCTAGTCTATAGTCTAGTCTATAGTCTAGTCTATAGTCTAGTCTATAGTCTAGTCTATAGTCTAGTCTATAGTCTAGTCTATAGTCTAGTCTATAGTCTAGTCTATAGTCTAGTCTATAGTCTAGTCTATAGTCTAGTCTATAGTCTAGTCTATAGTCTAGTCTATAGTCTAGTCTATAGTCTAGTCTATAGTCTAGTCTATAGTCTAGTCTATAGTCTAGTCTATAGTCTAGTCTATAGTCTAGTCTATAGTCTAGTCTATATAGTCTAGTCTATAGTCTAGTCTATAGTCTAGTCTATAGTCTAGTCTATAGTCTAGTCTATAGTCTAGTCTATAGTCTAGTCTATAGTCTAGTCTATAGTCTAGTCTATAGTCTAGTCTATAGTCTAGTCTATAGTCTAGTCTATAGTCTAGTCTATAGTCTAGTCTATAGTCTAGTCTATAGTCTAGTCTATAGTCTAGTCTATAGTCTAGTCTATAGTCTAGTCTATAGTCTAGTCTATAGTCTAGTCTATAGTCTAGTCTATAGTCTAGTCTATAGTCTAGTCTATAGTCTAGTCTATAGTCTAGTCTATAGTCTAGTCTAGTCTATAGTCTAGTCTAGTCTAGTCTAGTCTATAGTCTAGTCTAGTCTAGTCTAGTCTAGTCTAGTCTAGTCTAGTCTAGTCTAGTCTATAGTCTAGTCTAGTCTATAGTCTAGTCTAGTCTATAGTCTAGTCTAGTCTAGTCTAGTCTAGTCTTAGTCTAGTCTAGTATCTAGTCTAGTCTAGTCTAGTCTAGTCTATAGTCTAGTCTAGTCTAGTCTATAGTCTAGTCTAGTCTATAGTCTAGTCTATAGTCTAGTCTATAGTCTAGTCTATAGTCTAGTCTATAGTCTAGTCTATAGTCTAGTCTATAGTCTAGTCTATAGTCAGTCTATAGTCTAGTCTATAGTCTAGTCTATAGTCTAGTCTATAGTCTAGTCTATAGTCTAGTCTATAGTCTAGTCTATAGTCTAGTCTATAGTCTAGTCTATAGTCTAGTCTATAGTCTAGTCTATAGTCTAGTCTATAGTCTAGTCTATATTCTAGTCTATAGTCTAGTCTATAGTCTAGTCTATAGTCTAGTCTATAGTCTAGTCTATAGTCTAGTCTATAGTCTAGTCTATAGTCTAGTCTAGTCTATATTCTAGTCTATAGTCTAGTCTATAGTCTAGTCTAGTATATATTCTAGTCTATAGTCTAGTCTATAGTCTAGTCTATAGTCTAGTCTAGTCTATATTCTAGTCTATAGTCTAGTCTATAGTCTAGTCTATAGTCTATAGTCTAGTCTCTATAGTCTAGTCTATAGTCTAGTCTATAGTCTAGTCTATAGCCTAGTCTATAGCCTAGTCTATAGTCTAGTCTATAGTCTAGTCTATAGTCTAGTCTATAGTCTAGTCTATAGTCTAGTCTATAGTCTAGTCTATAGTCTAGTCTATAGTCTAGTCTATAGTCTAGTCTATAGTCTAGTCTATAGTCTAGTCTATAGTCTAGTCTATAGTCTAGTCTATAGTCTAGTCTATAGTCTAGTCTATAGTCTAGTCTATAGTCTAGTCTATAGTCTAGTCTATAGTCTAGTCTATAGTCTAGTCTATAGTCTAGTCTATAGTCTAGTCTATAGTCTAGTCTATAGTCTTAGTCTATAGTCTAGTCTATAGTCTAGTCTATAGTCTAGTCTATAGTCTAGTCTATAGTCTAGTCTATAGTCTAGTCTATAGTCTAGTCTATAGTCTAGTCTATAGTCTAGTCTATAGTCTAGTCTATAGTCTAGTCTATAGTCTAGTCTATAGTCTAGTCTATAGTCTAGTCTATAGTCTAGTCTAGTCTAGTCTAGTCTAGTCTAGTCTATAGTCTAGTCTAGTCTATAGTCTAGTCTAGTCTATAGTCTAGTCTAGTCTAGTCTAGTCTAGTCTAGTCTAGTCTAGTCTATAGTCTAGTCTAGTCTAGTCTATAGTCTAGTCTAGTCTAGTCTATAGTCTAGTCTAGTCTATAGTCTAGTCTATAGTCTAGTCTATAGTCTAGTCTATAGTCTAGTCTAGTCTAGTCTATAGTCTAGTCTATAGTCTAGTCTATAGTCTAGTCTATAGTCTAGTCTATAGTCTAGTCTATAGTCTAGTCTATAGTCTAGTCTATAGTCTAGTCTATAGTCTAGTCTATAGTCTAGTCTATAGTCTAGTCTATAGTCTAGTCTATATTCTAGTCTATAGTCTAGTCTATAGTCTAGTCTATAGTCTAGTCTATAGTCTAGTCTATAGTCTAGTCTATAGTCTAGTCTAGTCTATATTCTAGTCTATAGTCTAGTCTATAGTCTAGTCTAGTATATATTCTAGTCTATAGTCTAGTCTATAGTCTAGTCTATAGTCTAGTCTAGTCTATATTCTAGTCTATAGTCTAGTCTATAGTCTAGTCTATAGTCTAGTCTATAGTCTAGTCTATAGTCTAGTCTATAGTCTAGTCTATAGTCTAGTCTATAGCCTAGTCTATAGCCTAGTCTATAGTCTAGTCTATAGTCTAGTCTATAGTCTAGTCTATAGTCTAGTCTATAGTCTAGTCTATAGTCTAGTCTATAGTCTAGTCTATAGTCTAGTCTATAGTCTAGTCTATAGTCTAGTCTATAGTCTAGTCTATAGTCTAGTCTATAGTCTAGTCTATAGTCTAGTCTATAGTCTAGTCTATAGTCTAGTCTATAGTCTAGTCTATAGTCTAGTCTATAGTCTAGTCTATAGTCTA